AGGGTGGGTGCTTGTGGTCGGGTTCCAGGCTGGCTTGTCTCCCACTTCCTTTCATTTGTCTCCCAATTCTTTTCATTTGTCGCCCAGGCTGGTTGCTTGTGGTCGGGTTCCTGGCTGGCTTGTCTCCCACTTCCTTTCATGTGTCCCCCACTTTTTCTCATTTGTCTTCCAATTCCTTTCATTTGTCTCCCAGGCTGGGTGCTTGCGGTCGGGTTCCCAGCTGGCTTGTCTCTCATTTCTTTTCATTTGTCTCCCAGTTCTTTTCATTTGTGTCCCAGGCGGGGTGCTTGTGGTCGGGTTGCCGGCTGGCTTGTCTCCCACTTCCTTTCACTTCTTTTCACTTGTCTCCCAGTTCTTTTCATTTGTCTCCCACGCTTTTGGTGGTCTGGTCGGATTCCCGGCCGGCTTGTCTCCCACTTCCTTTCATTTGTCTCCCAGTTCTTTTCATTTGTCCCAGGTCGGGTTCCCGGCTGGCTTGTCTCCCACTTCCTTTCATTCCCCAATAGCCATGCTATGGGGTCTTGCAAAACTAATAGGCGGACGGGCGCCGTCGGGTCACCGTCAGAGCTGGTGGGCGGATGGTGTCCCGGTCATGTTTTGATGGCGTCCGGGTCATGTGATGCTGGTGTCCCGGTGTCCCGATCATGTTTTGATTGTGACCCAATCATGTTGTGATGGTGTCCCGGTCCTGTTTTGATGGTGTCCCGGTCATGTTTTGATGGTGTCCCGGTCACGGTCATGTTTTGAAGGTGTCCCATGTTGTAATGGTGTCCCGATCATGTGATGGTGGCGCGGTGATGTTGTGATGGTGTCCCGATCATGTTGTGACGGTGTCCCGGTCATGTTTTGATGGTGTCCCGATCATGTGATGGTGGCGCGGTCATGTTGTGATGGTGTCCCGATCATGTTTTGACTGTGTCCCAGTCATGTTGTGATGGTGTCCCGGTCCTGTTTTTTTTGATGGTGTCCCGGTCATGTTTTGATGGTGTCCCGGTCATGTTGTGATGGTGTCCCGGTCATGTTTTGATGGTGTCCCGGTCGTGTTGTGACGGTGTCCCGGTCATGTTTTGATGGTGTCCCGGTCCTGTTGTGATGGTGTCCTGGTCATGTTTTGGCGGTGTGCCGGTTATGTTTTGATGGTGTCCGGGTCATGTGACGGTGTCCCGGTCATGTTGTGATGGTGTCCTGGTCATCTTGTGATGGTTTTCCCGTCATGTCATGTTGGTGTCCCGGTCACCTTGTGATGGTGTCCCGGTCATGTTGTGATTGTGTCCCAGTCGTGTTGTGACGGTGTCCCAGTCATGTTGTGATGGTGTCTCGCTCATGTTGTGACGCTGTCCCGGTCATGTTTTGATGGTGTCCCGGTCATGTTGTGATGGTGTCCTGGTCATGTTTTGGCGGTGCGCCGGTTTTGTTTTGATGGTGTTCGGGTCATGTGACGGTGTCCCGGTCATGTTGTGATAGTGTCCCGGTCATGTTGTGATGGTGTCCCCGTCATGTCATGCTGGTGTCCCGGTCACCTTGTGATGGTGTCCTGGTTATGTTGTGATGGTGTCCCAATCATGTTGTGACGGTGTCTCGGTCATGTTTTGATGGTGCCCTGGTCATTTTGTGATGGTGTCCCGGTTATGTGATGATGGTGTCCAAGGAAGAGATGGTCGATGTGTTGAAAACAGCAGCTGTTTCCAGATTTTTCTTTTTGTCCCGGTTTGTATCTTGCTATTGGGGTCTCCAGCTGGGCTAATTTGTTTCCCACTTCTTTTCACTTGTCTCCCAGTTCTTTTCATTTGTCTCCCAGGCTGGGTGCTTCTGGTCGGGTTCCCGGCTGGCTTGTCTCCCACTTCCTTTTATTTGTCTCCTCTTCTTCCCAGCTCTGGACTGCTGTGTCCGCCTCTGCCTTGCAATCCTTTACATTTGTCTCCCAGCTCTGGGCTGCTGTGTCCGCCTCTCCCTTGCAATCCTTAATTTTACATGTGTCTCCCAGCTCTGACGGCTGTGTCCGCCTCTGCCTTGCAATCCTTTACATGTGTCCTCGCAAGCCTTTGCATGTGTCTCCATCTCGCTTGCACACTGTGTCTACATTTGTCTCCCAGCTCTGGACTGCTGTGGCCGCCTCTGCCTTGCAATCCTTTGTCTCCCACCTCTGGACGTCGCAGGCTCTAGTTGCAGAGTGTTCCGATTCAAAAAACACAAACTGTTTGGGGTCTACGGTGGTGTAATTCATCACTCTAAATATTTTCTTTTTAAACCACATTTCATGATTCATGACTTCTTTTCATGCGCTTCGCCATCGGTTCATCAGCTTAACCCAAGCTTTTCAAGGTGATTCCCGCGGGCTCAGTCCCCGTTCAACGCAGTACACTTCGAAGTCTCTTGGTTCTGAGGTGTTTTGAAGAAACATGTTGAGGGTTGAACTGCATCATAATGCATATATAAAATATACTACTACTACTACTACTACTACTTCCTACTACCTACTACCTACTACCTACTACCTACTACCTACCTACTACCTACCTACTACCTACCTACTACCTACCTACTACCTACCTACTACCTACCTACTACCTACCTGCTACCTACCTACTACTACCTACTACTACCTACTACCTACTACTACTACTACTACTACTACTACTACTACTACTACTACTACCTACTACTTACTACTACCTACTACTTACTACTACCTACTACCTACTACCTACTACCTACTACCTACTACGTACTACGTACTACCTACTACCTACTACCTACTACGTACTACGTACTAGGTACTACGTACTAGGTACTACGTACTAGGTACTACGTACTACCTACTACCTACTAACTACTGCTACTACTACTACTACTACGACTACTACTACTACTACGACGACGACGACGACGACTACTACTACTACTTACTACGTACTACGTACTACGTACTACGTACTGCGTACTACTAACTACTAACTACGTACTACTAACTACTAACTACTAACTACTAACTACGTACTACTACTACTACTACTACTACTATTATACTACTACCACTACCACTACCACTACCACTACCACTACTACTACTACTACTACTCGTACTACTACTACTCGTACTACTACTACTACTGCTACTACTTCTACTTCTACTTCTACTACTACTACTACTAGTAGAAAGCAATTCAGAATGCAACATGATCAAAAGGATCCAGGAGAATTGAGCAGAAGTGCTGTTGTATACAGCTCAGCGCTTGTGGCTGATGATCAGGTCGAACACCGCTTGGACAGACATCAGTTTGTTGCTTAGCATCGGATGTAGCCAATTGACAATGTAGTGGTCCACACTAGTAAGCTTCTTGTTCCAAGTAGTAAGGCCAGGAGCTAGTAGTAGCGTTCTTGCTCCTAGTAGCGATGCCCTTGTCACTACTTGTTATTTGTATTGAAGGAGTGTGTTGCGGTGACTCTTTCCAGCATGTAGTTTGAATGACCGCACCGAAGGGTTGGCGTTTCTTGTCAAAGATGCCCGAATGGCGCAGCTTCTGACAGATGTGAAAGGGGACAGATGAGGAGTGTTTCAAAAAAGACATATATACAAAATATACAAAAAACGTCGTAAAACTATGTGTATATGTATATATTTATATGTATATGCTCTTTGTCCCCTTGGCCCTTGCATTTGAACTTCATTGGTTTGAGAATGATGCTAGGCTCCAGGCAGAAGTGCTGTGAGCGTTGCAAGCGCTGTAAGCGCAGTCAGCAGCCTGATCTGGCAACAGGAACACTTTCTGGACTGGACCGCTGTTTCTGTTTATTACTCTTTTGTTGTCTGTGGGAATTGGGTTTACTGAGGTTTATGCTGCTCCCATCGCAGGCTGAACTTGTGCTTGTAAGACTTGTTTTTGGTCCATGGAGTCCATAGAGTGCCATAGAGCATGTTGGAGATTCTGCAAGGTCACGCGGGTCCGTCGGATGTTTCGCCCTTAGAAAGCCCATAA